AAGCAAAAGCAATAATTAAAGCATATATCGTTAAGGAGTGGCAACAAAAATGGGATACGGGAAACACAGGATGTCATCTTTATAAAATACAGCGAGAAGTAGGAGTAGTGAGGATATCAAAATTTTATCAAGTTTAAGGGTTGGTCACATGTTGAATAAAACTTTAAAATTAATAAATAAACATCCAACAGGATTATGTGAGCAGTGTTGCACACTTGAAATACGAGACTATAGACAAGCGTAATGAAATGAAGATCAGGTTCATCTTTAATAAACAAAACGAGTGAAGACAAAACGTAGCACAAACATGGCACATCTCTCTTTCTTGCTCACCGCAGAATGTTCAGGACCCCAAAACTTTTTCTAGCTGCCCCACTTGCGCCTGATAGTGCTATGTCTTTCACAATGCCCTTGAATCAAAAGAAATGAATAGTTGTACATAAAATAACAGTAAATAAAACAATAATAAAACAAAACCTGACATGCATCTATGTGTTTGTCAAAAGTATTTTAATGAAAAACAAACAAAGAAGGAACTTAGAAAGGTGGGAGTGGAAGGAATAAAGCTAAAAAAAAAAGTATAATCACTTATGGATTAGAGAGCTTATTTCTTTATCTCATGTGAGATCAAATTGTTGACTGGGAAGTGCTCTCTCTATATTCAAAGTGCAAATAGAGACCAATTTTTCAAGCATGATGCAGAGCTATAGACAACTACACAATCTATTATGTTGGGCGACAAGCGATCTCCATCGTGCTTGATCGGCTGCAGCGATTGCGGCTTCGTCCCAAGAGAGGTTGACGGCTCTCAGGTCCTCGATGAATGTCCTTCGCCACGTGATCTTGGGGCGTCCTTGTTTCCTTCTTCCTTGCTGCGGGTTCCAAAGCATGGCCATTCGTGGGAGCTTGGTTGGTGGCTGTCGGAGGACATGTCCGGCAAACTGCATTCGACGCTCGACCACGATTTGCGCTAGCGGGCGAGTTGACGTCCGGCGATGCACTTCCTCGTTGGTCACCCGATCTCGATATGGAATCTTCAGGATGCGCCTAAGGTATCGTTGATGGAACTTATTAAGGCGGTGGATGGTTTTGACCGTTTCGCAGGCGTAGGTAGCCGTTGGAATGACGATGGAGTTGAGCAGCCGTACCTTGATCTCGAGGGCGATGGTTTTCGTGCGCCAAAGTGGTTGGAGGCGTCGCATGACCGTTGCCTTGTTTCCAATACAGTAGACAACGTCGTGGTCCGTGTCGCCATCCGCTGAGATGGCGCTGCCCAGGTAGGTAAATCGATCAACCTCTTTGATTCGCTGTTGGCCGATGGTTATGGGTACTCGTCCGCGGGCATATCCGATGCGCATGATTTTAGTTTTTGAGCCGCTGATTCGGAACCCTATCTTTGCTGACTCCCGCTCCAAGGCCGTCATCATGTTCGCCAATCCGGTTTGGGTGGGAGCCAGCAACGCGACGTCGTCGACAAAGTCCAAGTCCGCCAGCTGCTCCATCTGTCCCCACGGGAGACCGTTTCTTTGTTGGTCGACGGGCTGGCGGAGGACAAAGTCCAGCGCCAATAGGAACAAGAATGGAGACAGGACGCAGCCTTGCCTGACCCCAGTCTCGATGGGGAAGAAGTCGGTAATGCTGTTTTCGGTCCGAACGCAGCAGCTCGAGGCACGGTAGAGGTAGCGGAACAGGTCGGTGAACTGGCACGGGATGCCATACACTCGGGCGATCTTCCAGAGTGTCTCGCAGTGAGCGCTGTCGAAGGCCTTGGTAAAGTCGATGAAGTTTATCGACAGCCACTGTTGATACTCCAGCCTCTGCTCAATAATTGTTCGTAGGACGAATATTTGTTCGCCGCAGGACTGTCCAGCGCGGAATCTGGCTTGCTCTTCACAGAGCCGCACGTTGACGGCCTGGTGCAGACTTTGTAGGAGGACCAGGCAGAGCACTTTTCCAGGCATGAACAGCAGGGGGATTCCTCGCCAGTTGTTGCAATCCGAGAGGTTGCCCTTCTTTGGAAGGCAGACGATGACTCCTCTTCACCATGTGTCGGGGACTGTGACTCGCGCCCAACAGGCGTTCAGTAAGCACATGAGTTCCCTGGCCAGGTCTTGGCCTCCGTACTTGACCATCTCGGCGGCGATTTCGTCCAACCCCGTGGCTTTGCCGTTTTTGAGCGCCCGTATCACCGTCGTCGTCTCCGCCATGGTGATCGGCCCTACCTCGACGTGTAAGTCGTCCGCTGGTGTCAGCAGGTCATCCGGGAAGGTGGTCGGCAGGAGCGGCTGGTTGAGCGTTTCCTTGAAATGTTCGACCCATCGCCTCTCTTGTTCGTCCCTCGTTAGCAGGGGCTTGCCATTCTTGTCTTTGATGGGGGCTCCCTGGCCCATCTTGGATCCCGTCAGCTCCTGCACGATTCTGTACAACGTCTTCATGTCGTTCCAGGCGGTGGCGTCTTGCGCTTCATTGCCTTTCTTTTCGATCCACTCTCTCTTGTTGCGGCGGCAGCTTCTCTTGACTCGCCGATCGAAGTCGCGATATGCCGCTTCAGCCATGGCTCGGACATCTTCGGAAGACGCTTGGTCGCGGACCCGCTTGGCGTCACGCTGCTCGTCGACCAGCGTCCATGTTCGTCCTAGGATCCATCACTCCCTGTACATCCCACGGCGCCGGCCGACGGTCAAGTCCGCTCTCGCTACAAATGCTTCTTGAATACTCGTCCAGTGTTGCTCAATGTCTGTTAGATCGGCGAGGGCCTCGAAACGGTTTCATAGCTCGATCTGGAACTGGGTAGCCGTGTTCAGATCCTTGAGTTTCGCGAGGTCGAATGGACGCGGCTGGCAAGGTTGGGTTGGCACGCGCTTGATCCATAGCCGACATTTGGCCACCACGAGGTTATGGTCGGAACCGATGTCCGCACCGCGGAAAACTCTGATGTCTAAAAGCGACGATCGCCATTGCCCCATGATACACACGTAGTCGTTCAAGGTACTTCCGTCCGGCGACCGCCACGTGCGTTTGTGGATCATTGGGTGAGCGAAGTAGGTGTTGCCGACTGCGAGTGCATTCGCAGTGCAGAGGGATATGAACCACTCGCCGTTGTCATTCGTCTCGCGCGCCAATCCATGGGGGCCGATGGTTTGCTCAAATCCACGTCGAGAGTCACCAATTTGGGCGTTCAGGTTGCCGAGCATCATCACGAGGTCGTGACGCGGGGTGGAGTCCAATTCGTGTTGGCATCCTCGATGGGCGCGTAGGCTTGAATGACGGTGATTTTTACATGCCGTGTATGAAGGTGCGCCAAGATAAGCTGGTCGGAGATCGGTTTCCAGCTGACGAGTGACGCCGCCACTTTCTTCAAGAGGACAAGTCCGACGCCTCGCGCGTGGCCGGAGTCGTGGCCTAAGTAGAGTATTATTTTCTCGTCGCTGACCAGTTGACCGCAACCCGTCCAGCGGACTTCGCATAGACCGAGCACGTCCAGCCAATATCGATCGAACTCCCGAAGGAGCTGGGCCAGCGCCCCGCTTGATAGAGGGTGCGGACGTTCCATGTTTCAATTCTGGTGATTTCCTTCGCGTGGAAGATGCAGCTGGACATCGGGCGTTGGACGGCCACTTGAGGGCTTTGATCCACCACCGTCATAGGACTACGGCCGTCTTCTGCGCAATCAATTTGTTGATTACGCTGTTGATCTCTTATCGTTTCTGTAGCAGCGGGTGTTTTTTTATGGGGTGGGGTTGCTAGCCCCACGCCCAACCCTCCTCCTTTATCCGGGCTTGGGACCGGCAATGGCAGACGAAACCAACCAAGGGCGGAGTTCGGTAAATTAAATAAGATGATAAAGGAAACTATTCTTTCTTTCATAAACACTCTAAACTAATTAAACTATTAATACTAACTTTTTTTAATTAACCAATGATATATCAAATGTAAATACAATACAACATAACATCAAGAAATATAACAAAGGACATAGATAACAGCCAGGGGGAAAAAAAACAATTATGCTATAAATAAAGTGATACAAAAAAAAAAAAACAGCTAACAGAAAATCAAGTAAGCAAATGAATAAATAAATACAAAGTAATAATTTTACAGGGGAATCCTGAAAAAGGCACAAGTTAGTGTTTTCCTCGCTTTCGTATTTTCCGATACCGAGAGCACTTTAAAGTCGGCATGAAACGGAAGTTGCGATTGTCTTTTCTTCTCTACTGTGACATATATCCGAGTGAAACGGCATCTGAAATGAGAGGGCGGGACTTGATTTCGTCCTTCGGGAATTGACTGGATCATTGGAAGCTGGGGCGTTGCTAACAAAATGGAGGCAGATCTGAATGCCAGTTTGCAGTTAGTGGTGGGGGATTTCTCTCCACTGGATTCACAGCCGACACCCAAGCATGAATAAATGTTTTATTTATTAAGGATGATGACGACGATCAACGGCACAAAACATGCCTAAACAGCGAGAGAGAGAGAGCGAGACTGCCTGAATGACTGAATGCGTCCTCCATCAGGTTCAAGAAATTAAAAAAATTAGTTTGCGATGTCCTAAGAGTAATGTTGTCGTAATATCCTAATATCTTTTCAATGATTAGGGGTAACGTACTCGTTACGTGCTATAAAGTGAAGCTTCAGGTTTTCCTCCTGTCGTTTATCCCAACGTTAACCCCTCACGTCACTAGCTCCGCCCTTGCGCCATAGCTCGTGACCGGAAGAGAAGATGAATCGTTTTGAGGGGGAGGGGAGGTTAACGTTTTTGATTAAAGATTAAGAGGGCACATGAATTAAAAAAAAATAATGAAGTGCACGGATAAATTATTTATAATAAACACTACAGTATTCCATTAAATTCAATTTTGATTTCATGGTGACTTTAAAATATTGTTGCACTATTACTATTAACTGCTAAAGCTATTTAGCCCAAAGCCCGCCCGCCCGACGCAAAGGCGGAAGTGCTCTCTCGGAGTGGGAGGGGCTAGTGACTAGCGTGGCGTCACGTCCGCGCGAGAGCGATACGCAACGCAGGAGAGTACGTGCAGTGGAGTGCGAGCGTGAGAGGATGGAGGCCGCAGAGCAGCAGCGGAGCTCGAGTGACGGCGCGGCCGCCAGAGGAGCGGGAGTCCCGGGCAGCGGAGGCGGAGCAGGGTCGGGGGGAGGCGCGGAAGGCGAGCGGGACAGAGATCGAGCCACCTTCGAGTGCAACATCTGCCTGGACACCGCGCGAGACGCGGTCATCAGCCTCTGCGGACATCTGTTCTGGTACAAACTATCGATAATCGATCGCCTCCAGTATCATAACAGTATGATTGAGTGCTGAGCATTAAAACACAGCGTGACAGTTTGACACGAGAAAGACCCTTTGCCACAGTAACCAGGGCTAGTTTCGCCTGGTATTTGTTATTTACTCACGTAAAACTGCAGCAATACAAGCACAACATTTCAGAGAAAAAAAAACGATTGATTGACAGCTTGACATGTTGACAGGGAAGAATCTGTCTCATTTTCAACCCTTAATTCACCATGATAACCATAATAATACAATAGTTACTTCAGTTACTGTTTTACTGTTTCTAGAGTAAAACATATATATATATATATATATATATATGTGTATATATATGTGTATATATATATATGTGTATATATATGTGTATATATATATGTGTATATATATGTGTATATATATATATGTATATATATATGTATATAGACTTTTACGTCCCAAGTACTAAAAATAAATACACCATAGTGTACAACGCTGATAATATCATAATGTTCTTGGGTGTGTGATTATGGTATAGTACCATGGTATTACTGAACACAGTACTTTTTGTAAGGACATAGGGCATTACTTCAGTTATTTGTTACTATAGTAAATATTCTCCGAATATTCTGAACAAGCTCCTGCGTTAATTTTCAATTATTTTACAGTAGTAACATATTGTGTGTTACATGGCATCATCAAAGTATTTCTTTGTTTGGGTATGGTGTGGTATTTTGGTGTAAATGCTGGTTACCATAGTGCATTTTTGTTGGGACAGTTTGAGATGGTTGACATGAGACTGATGATTGACAGGAGGAGTGTTTCATTGTGCTGTTTTGGAACATTTTATTAAACTCTTAATCAACATTTGCATATGCATTTTATATTTTGTATAATATTTGGTACAGTACATCAGGCGTTTATGGCTCATCATGTAGTATGATGATATAGTGAGAATATGGAGAAAAAAATACCTCTGTTTTTTTAGAGGCCCAAACTCAGCAAAAATATGTGATTAGATGCAGATGCTGATATTTGTATGGACAAACAAAGTAAGAAGTATTGATAGCTTGTAATGTAAATCAGTGAGCTCTTTATAACAGTATAGCAGATACTTACATAAAATGCATAAAAATGTCAGTTTTCACTTTATATCTCCAATAATATTTCTTAGTAAGATAATTAAATGCCTAGTTTTATGATTAAACCAAATAATACAGTGATGATTGAGGGATGAACAAATACATATTCCTCAAAAGGCTGACGATCATATTTGATACATTTGAACATGATTTTCCTAATAAATGATAAGGATAATAAAAGGCCTTTTACTCGCTAAAAAGTCTAAACTATCAATCAGATGAAGCAGACTGCGTGCAACAGGTTTGTCAGCAAAGTTTTGAACAACAGATAGAAATCAGAATGATCTGCTAAGACTTGTCCCAAACAAATGTAAAAGTCTCTGACCTGAAAATTATTTCAGTGAACCATCAATGAAAGTATGTTCATGATGATTACAAACATTTATCCCATAAATTATTAACTACAATGAGTTGTATTTCTATTCTCTTTTATAAATGTGATAATATATCAATATTTTTGACATTACCGCAATAAGAACGGGAATGAGGGAAATGTTTAATTAATTAAGTAATTAATTGCCATGGAAAAATATCACAGTGAATGAAGTCATAATATATCTAAAAAAAAAAATTATAATAATTTTTAATAAATTTCTTAATGTATCTTCTTTTGTGGTGAATATTTTTTAGACATGTTCTCCGCAGGATTCATGAGATTCACCATATTTCATGTTCACAACTTTCTGTATTTAATTATCACGCTGAAGAATAGATATGCAGAAAGATTTATGCAGATGGGATGGATGGATGTATTTTGCCAGATGCTCCTGAAAGAGTTTTCTTACCATGAATTCTATTGGTTATTTTAAAAACAGAAATTATTCATTTATTTACCTAGTTTTTACCCCTTTCTCTTTTTCCTGGTACGTCTGCTCCTCGTGCAGTTGGCCGTGTCTTCATCAGGTCAGTATCTGAGTGTCTAATATCATGAATGACATTATAAATTATTTTTTAGCTCTTCATGCACAGTGGAATTAAATGCTTACATGTAAAATCAGATATTAAATTATTGTAATGTACAGTAGAAACCTGGAGAACTCTTATACTTTTATAATCAGTCAAAGCAATAAGGTATAAAGAAATTAGCAAGGATGCAGTAAATTGATTAAAAGTAACAAAGACATTTATAATGTTTCAAAAGTTATTTTATTACAAATAAAATATGTTCTTTTGAACGTTATATTCATCAGAGAATTCTGAAAAATAAAATGTATCACAGTTTCCACAAAATATGTAGCAGCTCAACTGTTTTCAACATTAATAATAATCAGAATTTTTTCTTGAGCAGCAAATCAGCATATTAGAATGATTTCTGAGGGAATATGTGACACTGAAGACTGGAGTAATGATGCTGAAAATTCAGCTTTAATCACTGAAATAAATTACATTTTAATATATATTCAAATAGTAAAAGGTTATTTTATATTGCAATAATATTTCAGTTTTTACTGTATTTTTGATTAAATAAATGCGGCCTTGGTGACCGTGAGAGAATTCTTTAAAAAACATGGAACTATCTGTTGCTGTCCCATGTGTTTCAGTGGCTGGAGACGCGTCCCAGCACACAGCAGTGTCCCATGTGTAAAGCAGGAATCAGTCGAGATAAAGTCATTCCTCTGTACGGCCGCGGCAGCACCAGCCAGGAAGACCCCAGGTACTGCTGTCACACAGTACATACAAGATTGGAGGTTATTTTATTTTATTTCATTTTATTTATTTTAGCATGTCAATCCATATTTGATATTTGTATACAATTATTTTGGCTCTCCAATAAAATAAGACGCGTAACAGATTTTTTTTTTAATCATAATTTGTCACACTGTAAATGGAAGGTTAGATCAAGTGCTTTGCATTGTGGGTCTCTCACAGTGTGTCATTATTTCTCTGGCAGATAGTAGGTCGTCCAGGTACTCCATGAAAACAGAAAATTGGGTTTTTAACAGATATTTGGGTTTTTAATTT